CCTAAGCCTCATCTCTGCTTGAGAAGCAACCACTCCTTATTTCTTCATAGAAATGGGGAACAGCAGAAAGAAAAAAGTGCATCTTCAACAAAATGCTTCCTAATACAACCAAACTCACACTTAGACATCTATGAATAAGCCATAAAGGTTATGCATACAAAGCAGAGCACTGCTACACAGAGAAGCACAAAAAAAAGGGAGGCAATTCTGACCTCGCCTACTGGTGAGAGGCAGTAGCGTCAAGTAGTCCATGCCTCATGGCTACTAAAAATCATTGATCAGAAAAAAAGGCTGGAAGGTGCCTTCCACCTGAAAACTAAATTCTCTAAAATGCATGGAACGTAGCCCAGAGAAACCCCAAAACGCAAGGGCATGAGAAGTACCTCCCTATTATGAATATTTAAGGAACTCAAGGGCTCTGACACTCTAGCCCACGTTCCACTAGAAGCTAAAGCCTGAAAACTGCAAATTAGTTTTTCATGGGTGTTTTCCTTAAGGACAGGATCTGGAACAAGAAAGATGGTGGATTCTCTTTTCAGATCGAGGTTAGGCACCTCTAAAAAGGCATGCTTTAGCTACTGCCAATCTTACTAAAAGGAAAAACACAAAAAACCCCACCAAAACCCAAAAACCCCAACATTCACCCAAAAATCACATTTTGGGTGCTTAGACGCTAATGAATGAAAGGTGAGAATTAATGGGAGCACTGTTACACCATATTATCTATATTACCACATAAATCCTACAGACCCCAATGCTGGATCCACAGCTTCAGGTTACTAACTAGCCAATCTAAAAATCTGCCTGAAGAGAAACAGTTCCCCTCTCTCCTCCCAGCTCTGATCTCGTGAATGTAGGCTTCCACCATGGGCCAGTGGGCCACCATGGGTTCAGTGACCTGTACTAGCAGAAAAACTATTCCTCTTCCTCATAAATAAGGGCATTTCCTTGGCTTAGAGCTTCCTCAACTGATTCACTGTAGGGTCAGTCAAATGCAAGCGGCAGCACAACGGAGGAGCAGTACCTCAGATCCATTTCAGCTTCAGTCAAGCTGTGCTCTGTTTGTCTTCACAGCAGGAAGCTCTTGGCCTGTGAGATCACAGGATTCAGACCCTTCTGCTTAAAAACACTGGAGTAACTCTGCCTGAGGCCAACCTCTTTTTATTTTTTTTTCCCCAAGAATAACAAAATTTAAAGAAACCAGTTAGTTTCAATAAATTACTTGCACAACTCCTAAACTAGTACATTTTAGAAGTCTAATGCAGCTAAATTCTGTTTAAATAATTCAAGATATAATTAGACTACAAAGTTTAAGCTTCCTAATACAATACCACCACAAAGGTGACTTCTAAACTCTGGCTGAGGAAGCAAACAAGCAACTTTCATGAAACGAGGGAAACAAGCCAGATAATTTATTAGACTGTCCAATCAAAAGAAGCACTGTGTTGATGCCTCCGTGAAGGTGAAAGTATTGGACAGCTACCCCATACCCTTGTTTCAGTGAGCAGAACAGGTACTAAGAATTTAAGCTGCATGTCAAGAAGCTATAGACTAGTCAGGGGCAGGAGTGGCAATCCAGGACTGGAGCAATCCAGGGGTTTGGCCTGAGCAGCCGAGTTTATGATCCTGTAATCAAAATCTTTTCACCAGACATCAATGTCTCCCTTTGTCTTTCCTGTCTGACTGGGAGGCCACCAAAGATTTGTATCCAGGCAGCTCCTGGGCCGACAGTGGGCATGACAACATCTGCTGCACGGACAGAGAGGAATCCACTTCCACCTGCCACAGCTGACACCAGATCTCTTTCTGAAGGCTAAGATGCCTCATTTCTTCCAAGAGGAAATTCTGTTCCCACAGGCATTCTCAGCTCTCCATTGCACCTATCCAGCTGCAGCCAGCCCAGGATCCAGTTTGTTCCTTTCATATTGCTCACCAAATTAAAGATGACACAGATTGACATCAAAAGGAAAGGGTTTCCAAACACATCTTATTTGATTAGCTCTACAGTCCATCACACTGTCAATATCTTCCTTCTCAACTACAAAAAAAGATCCTTTCTCATGTGTGCAGCTTTTGAGTAGTGGAGAAGGCCCAACAGAAAACAGTGAGGGACTGGGTAAGACCAAAAGGGACCAAAGGATTGTGAATCCCATGAAAAAACCTACTGTGGCAGTTTTATATTTTCTCCATCGAATCCAATATATTGATGTATCCACCAGTCTCCAAAAAACCAGAAAAGTTAATGTGAAAAAAGCCTTCATTCATTAATGTTCAAGACACTTTGCTATTGCTAGATTATTTTCCATATTTTTGGGGATAACTACTGTGGCTCTCAACAGTGAGATTCACAGGCACTGGGCACTGTTGTGGATAAGACCATGGATTAGCCTGACCAACAAGAATTGCCACTGTCCAGTTTATAGCTGGGGAAACTCTCACATGCAAGGGAAGTCTCAATTTTCAGATGCACTATGTAAAAGCTACATCATCTCCCTCTCATTCCTAAAGCTTCAATAAATACCCAACAGATTCCCCCACTCTTCCTCTGGACTATGGAGGGAGATCTCATATGGAGGGAGGGCCTTTCTTATTTCTCCCTCTCAAAGCAATCTTCACATTTATTCCAATGGGATTGTGTCCCACAATGACATTTAAGGGGATTTCATGATGTTTCAGAGGAATACTCATTTTTTTGTTATCTTTGATGGAAGAAGGGGAGGGAAGCACTGGTTTTGTCCACTCTGTATCTCGCTCAGTAAACTAGCAGAGCTAAAACAGTGTTTTAGCAAATGCTTCCACAATCACTCCAGCAAATATTTGGCTGTGCCCTGCAATGCTCAAAGCAGAAGATACCAACGAATCCGACACCTCCTTAGAAATTAAGGAAGTTTACAAAGTCCTTGAAGATTTTATAAACACCTATTCCTCTATAATGACCTATTTTCTGTCCTCTGCTCTGTTTTCAAAGTGAATCAATGACACTGGAAGGTCACTATGGAGCTTTGGCAAACAAATCTCACCGAGGAGTTTCCCAGGATGAGGAACTGCTCCTGAAGTATTTTTCTGGACCATGCACATTTGATACACACATAGATAAGACTACGGCAAAAAAACTGAAAGAACACAATTTAAGAGGTGAGTCCACAGCAAGACCCATGTGCGAGGAACGTGCTGCCTGATAAACGTAAAGTAATGTGTCAATCTTTCCATAACAGAGAGCAAGAAAGAGCATGAAGGGATTCCTATACTGAAGTTATGGAAGAAAGAGGGATTTGGCTCTTCCTGGATTTATCTGATCATTCCTGCCTTGAAAAACAAGTGCCAACTGTGTCCATTGGAGGAGAGCTCCAGGCTGCCTGTTGCAGCACAGAGATACACTTGCCTTCACCAACAAACTCTAGCAGATGGAGAGGGAAGGAAATCCACACATGGGCCATGAGCACCACTTCACTAACACCAGCACTGGGGGTTGATGGAATAGGTTTCCTAGCACAAGAGATGCTCCTTTCTGGATGACCAAGAGCATTGATAGGGATCTGACTTTTCCCTTGAGGACCAGTGTTTTATTTTGCCAGAGGAACTTAGGCAATGAAGGAATGAGATTATCACAAAGTATGCAAAAGCACACAGTAGTAACAGCAGTGAATACCACATACACCATGCACCACATCTCAGAAGTTTCTGATTCCATCTATATCACCATGAGGATGCTCTAATAGCACACAAAGGGAAAAAGCCAGAACCTTAACACACCATTCCTATTCTGTCCCTCTTTATCCTCTCTAAAGAAGGCAGCACAGTGAAATGTGGTGACACACTGACACTCCTGAGTGAGACTTGACGCTTTTTAGTCAGAGCACCTGTATGGGCACAGCACCTACGAGCTGAGCGAGCATTAGCACACCCTGTGGAACAACAAAACACGAGGCTAAATTCCACTCATAGAAAGTCTCCAGGCTGAAAATCTCTGTTATGACTCATATGAGAAATTTGTTGCTAAAAGACAACATTTTCAGTGACACTACAAGAAATCCATGTGAAATGGTAGAATTAGGAAACCTTTCCTTCTATCAATCAAATCACCTTGCAAGTTTAAGAAAATTCAAAATAGATTTGGTTTGAACTGCTCAGAAACATGATACCAACAGGTATTGAAGTCCCCACCCCTCAAAACCCACAGTGGGTCTTGAACTTGTCACACAAGTAGCTCTGACAGTGTCACTCCAGTGCTTCGTACAGCGTTCTGGTTCCGTTAAATCCTAGATGCACGTCAAGGTCATGGTGTTCATCTCTAGAGTGCCCAGTGGGTCAGACCCAGGTTACCGGACACCTCCTCTCCCGGAATGCAGGGAAAGCACAACGATTATGGACACATCCAGCAATGTCAGCTTGGGCACCACGAGCAGTACCGACACCGCAGAGAGAGACTCTGAGCCCCAAAGCTTCAGGAGACACGGCCACGCACACAGGAGCACCATTTCCACCCCGCCAAAGAAGAGAAACTCTCAGCCTCCTGCCTAAAACCTGAACACCACGGAGTTTTCCCAGCGTAACGCGATAGAAGCGCTCCCTCCCCAGAGACCTCTCCGGAGCGGGTTGGCTTTCCACATGCGGCTGGGCAGGCACCCCCTGGCCGCGGGCAGGGTGCCGTGCCCAGCCCCGGGCTGCACCTGACCTCCTGAGGGGCCGACACCCTCCGCGGGTTTCCCTAGAGGCTGGCCCGGCACGAGGTCGCGGGTGACTTCGCACCTCGGCCCCTGCCCGATACCGGCACCGGCGGTCCCCGGTATCATCCGACGGGGCCGTTCCCTCCGGCGAAGCCTCTCAGGGCTCGGGGCGCCCCCGCCCCTGCCGTGCACAAGGCAGCTAGGCCACGGCCAGCCCCTCCCGCGGCGGCAGCCCCGGGCATCGCCTTGACCCCCGGCCCGGGCAGGAGGGGCGCTGAGAGGCGGCACCCGCCCGGGCCCCGCCGCCCCGCCCTTGCCCTGCCGTGCCCTCACCTCGGGCCGTCCTGCCTCCCCCCGCGGGGGAGGTGGCCGCGTCCGCCCCTGCACTGCAGCTGCCGGCCCGCCGCCCCTCTCGGCAGATGGTTCGCCCCACCCGGCCCACCTTCTCATTGGTGACACTGGGCCGTCACTCCGCCGCTGGCTCACCCACCCCCGAGGGCACGCTGGGAACCCGAGTTCCGCGCGCAGGACTCTCTCCCTTCGGCTGGAGATGTCGGGTGGGGCGTTAAACTACATCTCCCGCAGTGCTTCGCGCGCAGCCCCGGCGCGGCCTGGCCCGGTGCCGTCCCCGGTCCCGCATCTCGCAAGCCGCCAGCGGGACGGTCCCTCCTTCCCTCCTTTCTCCGCCCGTGCCCGCAGCGGCCTGGCCCGGCCAGGCCCAGCTCACCTGGCCCCGCCGCCGCCGGCGCTTCCCGCTGCGGCCGGCGCAGGCAGCACATGCCCCACGCCCTTCAGTGTGGCTCGTCGGGCGCGGTGCCGCCGGCCCGGCGCGCTGCGGCTGCGGCTGTGAGACGGGCCGGCCCCGAGCGCATCCTCCCCTTCGGAGCCGCGGCGGGCGGCGGGCGGCGGGATTCGCCCACAATGCACCGCGCGCCGCACAGACAGCATCAGCCTGACATCACCCGCTGGCCGTCCCCGCCCAGCCGGGCCCGCCCTGGGCCCGCCCGGCCACCACTGTCAACTGGCACCGGGCACCGACTGGCGGCACATGCGGCTGGGCACCGCAGCGCTCCGCGACTTCACATGCAGGGAAGCGCACTGGCGTGGGACCGGGAACGGGACCGGCATCGGCTGTGCCAGCGTGATCACGGGCCCTGCCAGGACGGGGACTGGTGCTCGTCTCTGTGTTGGTGCCATTAGCACTGGTGTGGGATTGGTGCCAGCGCTGGCAGTCTGCGCAGGGCCGAGTGACTGCACTGTTGAGACCAAGGCCAGAGCCAGCATATCTGCCTGAGGCTGGATTTTGCATTGCGCAGCGACTAGCAGCTTCACCGCTGTGGCCCTAGCGCTGCTCTATGCTGGCAGTGGAGTCAGCCCCAGCAGTGCTAGCCTGCAGCTTTTTACTCCAGACATCTGGGACCAGGGCCAACAAGGGACTAGTGCACTACACTGCACTGCAGGTGGCAGCATCACCACAGTCTGGCCAGGATACTTCACTGGGACCAGGACCAGCACCACCAGCACTGGCCTGGACACAGCGCTTCTACGATCAGAACCATTCCCCATCCATACAGGGCCAGATCTTGCCCTGCCAGGGCTGAGAACAAGCCCAGCAGCTCACAGCCAAAAAAGGCTCAGACAAGTGAGCCTGTCCCTGCATGCAGCTGAGCAGTGTACCTGTCCCTGGGCAGTTTCCCTGTTCCCCTACCCTGAGAGGAACAGCTGTGACCCTGCTCCAGAGAGGTGCCATGCTCCCTGCTCCATCTCACTACAATTCACATTGTACTTGGAGCACAGATAAGCACGTGGGTCCTGCAGGTGTGCTGTGCAACACTCATGGCTGTGCCTTTTTGTTCCCTTTTCATAGCAGATCACCCATATTCCAGCTGGTCCTCATGCCTCTGTCCCAAACTGTGGATGGACACTGTTCTGTGTCATATACAGCTTCACAAAACGTGCTGCAAGGGACACTGATGCCAGCCTCCCCTGCAACACACTGATGCCTTCTCCCTGTCCCCATCAGTGTCCCCATCAGACCCAGCCTGGTGTTGTTCCACAGATGGAGGTTCCCATCTATCCTATGAGTGGGATGTCACACCAGCTTCCACAGGGCTGCTGTGCTCCCCAGTCCCTTGTGGGGTATTACCTCCTAGCCAAGACTTTTCCCCCCACCAAAGCAGTCCCTTTGGGCCAAAATCTCCTGAGGGGATTTGTGACAAGACAGACATGCTTGTGCCAAGGCAGACCCAGCACAACCCTGGCCGCCCCCAGCCACTCAGATCAGGGAGAACAGGGCTACCAGGTCCCCACAAAGTTCCTCCACTGGCTGGAGCCCCCTGCATTGAGGACTTGCTCAGTGGAAGCATTCCACAGAGACTGCAGGGAATCTCTAGCCCTGTAGCAGTTCATCCTGCAGGTTCCAGGGGTTAAGACACCCACAGTTGCACCTCATGCCAAGGTTCCTGTCATTCCAGGTATATGATTGACAGATGATTGGCAATTGCCGTGTGGGCTCTCTGTGCTGCAGGTCAAGACCCCACCACTTGTATTCCCAAGCGATGGTTCATGGTGCTGAGTTTGAGAGGCAAAGGAATGGGCAAACCAAAATAAGGTCTGGGAGATGGTTTTTCCCAATATGTTGTCTTCTCAGTATCCTTCTTTCACAGTGCTGGTGGAGCGCCAAGCACAGACCCAGCAGTAAATTGGATTGCGCAATGGTACCAAGCTGGAGGGGATGGAAGGATTTGATGCTAGAGCCTTTAGTCCACCCGAGGGCTACCTAAGGGGAAGCCAGTGTGATGTGGAAATGCATCAGCAAGAACTTTCTGGAACAAAGCACATAGCAAACCTTGTGTGGGCTGCTGATGCAGGAGAGGAGTCAAATGGGGAGAGGAGTTCTGTGTTGATAGTGTCAGCAGCAGCACTGGATCTCCTTGGTCTGAAATTCAGCCTTGAGTAGAAAATTCTTAAGAATGTGACAGCTGATGGCCTGGCCTGTATAAAAGTAGTCTAGTTATCCGGATATTTTGAAGTATTGTTTTTCTCCCTTGTCACTCGTTGGGCATTTATTACGCATTCATAAATGGATGTGCAGCAAATCTACAATTTTCACAGTTTTGAGCTTTGTTTCAGGTGTGACCAGATGTGAGCAGATCTGACAAAGATTTACATTCCAGATTAGTTCAGGTACTCAGCTCCTCCAAACCTGCTGCAGTTCATGTTGCTTTGGACACAATGTCCATGCTGATCTGTTAAAGTGGTACCTGAGCAACTGCATTTTAACTTTATTTCATCCTTTGTCTAAACTTCCCTCTAAGCCTGCTCTTCTGCAGATGGAGCTGAATGGGCTTAGAAACCTGCTAGAACAGCCACCTGGGAACATGTCCAATTTAATGTGCGGGCAGAAATGTAGCTGAAAATGATCAAAATATTTTATTAAAATCTGGGTTCATTGTGACTTGGGAAAATTTCTAACACAGACTAGCATCTACTTAGCTCTGTGATGGTGATTTTGCCTGGCCTTGATTTTCTTTGTGGAGTCAGACATCAGCCGTGTCAGGAAAATTAATCCACAAACACCAGAGGTTTATGTCCAAAAAGGAGA